TCTCACCCTGGCTCACACAGCCCCACATCAGTCACTGGGCCTTCCTCTCCACGCTCCCCTCGTACTAGCCCTGCCTTCTAGAATCCTCCAGCCACATGGGCCTCTTTTAGCCCTTGAACTCACCAAGCTCATTCCCACCTCGAGGCCTTTATCCAGCTGCTTATTACTGCCTCATAGTCCCCATTGATCATTTGCTGTTGTCTCTCCTCCTCACTAAAACTCAGGTTCCCTAAGAGCAGGAATCTTATCCGTCTTGTTCACTACCGTATACTCGGGGCTCAGAACAGTGCCTGGCATACAGTAGGTTGAATGAATGAACAAATGAGGAAGAAGTGAACCAGACAGCGTTGTTCTGAAGTGAGGAGACTATCAAGAAATGGCTATCAGGTCACACAGAATTCTCACTAGACAGAGTGGGCTCCTTGTGATCTGGATTTTCCCTTGGTGACAGGGAATGCCTCTGGAGCCACCAGTTCCTCAGGCCCCCTAACTTGGGGTCATGCCTGCTGTTTCTGGGGTCAGTCTGTATGTCACCATGCCCTCCCCATCACCACCACCATAAGCAGCGGCCCCAGGCTCTGTGCATAGTATCATACTGGGACTCGTGTAGGGAAACAAGGTAGCAGAGTGACCACCATTTCTTCCCACCAGGTGGGTGGAGGGCAGGAGGCCCCCTTGTCTCAGAACTGCAAGAAAGGTCAACACTCCCCGTGCAGTGGGGGGAGGCACCCTAGAACTTGAGAAGAGCTCTCTGTGTCCCCAGTTCACGAGAAGGAGGAGGAGACTAGTTGGAGGTCACCAATTGACCAAGAGGCTGTTAGATCACTGGATGTCAACCCAACTTTAGAGGAAAGCCACCCATGAAGATGTTTTTAGTTTGGTACCAGTCATTGAGCTGTATACTTACAATATGTGCATGTTCCTTTATGTTATATGTGTTTTTAAAACCCACACACCCAGACTCGCTCTTACAGGTTCTGCTTCAGAACGTCTAGGATATGTTCCAGGCACCTACATACATTTTAAAGCTTCCTTTGTGATTCTCAGTGGCATCTAAGGTTAAGAACTATTGATAAGGAGGGGCGCTTGGGTGGCTCAGTCGGTTAAGCGTCTGCCTTCGGCTCAGGTCATGATTTCAGGATCCTGGGATCGAGCCCCACATCAGGCTCCTTGCTCCTTGCTCCTTGTAAGGAGCCTGCTTCTCCCTCTGCCTGCCGCTCCCCTTGATTGTGCTCTCTCTCTCTGATAAGTAAAATCATTTTAAAAAAAGAAATACTAATAAGGAATTACTAGGGACCCCAGAGCAAGAAGATGAAGAAGAGTGTGATGTAGTTAAGGGGCAAGGATGCTGAGACAGGACTTCAGTCACACTTAGAATAATGATGTTCCAGAAAGTCCAACAGACTGATAGGTTAATACACATTAAACCTCTGGGTGTCCAAAAAAATACCCCCAAACCAGCATTCAAAACCGTAAGAAGCAGGTAATTGGGAAATATATATATAGCAAAAGGTTAATAGCCTTAATATTTATTAAAAAAAACAACTCTTACAGATCAGTAAGATAGGCACCCAGTAGAAAAACAGAGTACAGACATGAACAGACAGTTCAAAAAGAAGAAATACAATGAGCCAATACATTTATGAAAAGTGGTCAGCCTCACCAGGAATCAAATAAATGCAAACTACAACAACAAAGAGACGTTATCTTTTGCCTAGCTAATTGGCGAAGATTAAATATGTGATAATACCTCATGTTAGTGAGGATGTGGAAAAAACAGGCACTGTCATTCACTGGTGGGAGTGCAAATTGGTGTAACCTTTCCAGAAGGCAATTTGGCAAGGCTTAAAGCTGAGGAAGATCGCATACCCTTTTGATGCAGAAATTCCCCTTTTAGCAAGATTGCCCTAGGAAATTACTGTGGATAGTAATAAACAATAATAGCTAACCTTTGTTAAATGCTCTGTGCAAGCCAGACTTTACGTGCATTGTCTCATACAAGGCTTACAGCTACCATCCCATGAGGGAGGAGCTATGATTATCACCCGAATTTCACAGGGGAGGAAACTGAGGCACCAAAGGATTAGGTCAGTGACCTGAGGACACAAAGCTACTAAGTAGCAAAGCCTGGATTTGAATCCAGGCGGTCTGAGTCAAGAGCCACACTGCCCATCCACCAGGACGTGCTGGATGTGTGCGAAGGGTGAACACCGCGTGCACTGAAGGGGCACGATGCGTATATATGCTGGACCAAGCTGGGCCCATTTGTAATGAGGGGGCAACGGGGAGAAAACACGCTGAATACCCCAGGATAGGAACTGGTTACATCAGTTATGATATGCCAATAAAGGAATATTATGCAACCATGAAAAATGAGAAAAGTATGTATGTGAACACTGGGGGGTTTTGTATGTGCATAAAATGTCTCTGAAATGATACAAAAGCAATGGAAATTGGTTGCCCCCTGCAGTCAGAAGTCAGAGGGAGACTTGTTTTTCAAGCCATATACCCTTTTACACTTCTTTAAAAAAAAAAAAAGATTTTATTTATTTATTTGAGAGAGCAAGAATGAGAGAGAGAGAGAGCACATGAGAGGGGGAAGGGTCAGAGGGAGAAGCAGACTCCCTGCTGAGCAGGGAGCCTGACGTGGGACTCGATGTGGGACTCCATCCAGGGACTCCAGGACCATGACCTGAGCTGAAGGCAGTTGCTTAACCGACTGAGCCACCCAGGCACCCCCTTTTACACTTCTTAAATTTTGAATTATATGAAGATATTATTAAAAGGCATATGTAGGGCGCCTGGGTGGCTCAGTTGGTTAAGCGACTGCCTTCGGCTCAGGTCATGATCCTGGAGTCCCGGGATCGAGTCCCGCATCGGGCTCCCTGCTCGGCGGGGAGTCTGCTTCTCCCTCTCACCCTCCCCCCTCATGTGCTCTCTCTCATTCTCTCTCTCTCAAATAAATAAATAAATCTTTAAAAAAAAATTTAAAAAAAAATAAAAGGCATATGTATGTGTGCACGCACACGTAAGTTATGTTCTAGAGCTATTCCATGTAACTTTATTTCCTTGAAATGCTGCTAAGGATTCTGAGAAAAAAAGTTCTAAGACCCTTGCTTGGAGAATCATCCCAAAGTCGGTGATGCTACTTCTTTAACTCTGTTACCCACCTGTTCCCCAAACTGGTTTGCTCAGGGAACCCTTTTCTCAAGTAACGTCTATGATCATCTCTCTGGATATTCGTGGCCTATAGAAGTCAGTTTGGGAAATGCTATCGTTAATAGTTAATGCCGAGAGCTCAAAGGCTTACATTTCTTTCATTAAACAAAAGAAACGTGTTACTGATGCCGATCCTATTTATTTACAATGCATGTGTATGTGTGTGTATTTTAATTCTGAGTACTAGGATGGTGGATGATTTGGTTTTCTTCTTTTATCCGTCTGTATTTTTAAATTTTCTAAAATGAACAAAATCATTTCACAAGCACTGTTGTTTTTGAGTCTATGCAATATCATTTTGAAGCTTCAGGAGCCCTTTCTCTTTCTGCTCTCTTAGCCCGGGCACCCCATTCCCATCTACTGCCTGCTTACAAGCAGCCATTCAGGGGTAGGTTCAGGGAGGGAGGCCTAGCCATAGCCAGGCCCTCTTGGCGGCCTTCGTCCAGAGTCAGCCGGGCCAGGACCATTCGGTCCCCAGACAACTCCCTGGCCTAGCAGACCCTGGCTTCTGCTGCTGGAAGAATTTCAGTTATGTTCTCCATTTCCCCAAAAGAGACACAGGCTGTAAAAGCAGGTACCAGCCTTCTACGGGCCTGATGTGTTGCAAATGCAGATACCTGGGCTTCAGTCCCAGCTCTGTGGCTGCCTGGCTGTGTGACCTTGGGCAAGTTTCTTAACCTCTCTGAGTCTCATCTTCCCCATCTATGTCAGCAATGACACTTGCCTCACAGAGCTCAGGGACCGAACGAGAGCGTGCACGAAGGCATTGTGTAACCTGTAAAGGGCTGTCCCTGTGGAAATTATTATATGCCCCAGTAGGGAACACGGGCTTGCCCTTACCTTCCTGAGAACAGAGTACTTTTTCCTTTTTTTTTTTTTTTTTCGGTTGTTGGGGGGACGGGAGCAAGGAGATGAGGTATGGGAGATCTGGGCACGTGGAAATAGAATTCTGTATAAGAAAAATGGGAGAAGCCTCTCTGCTTGGCATTTGCAGGACTGCAGCCCTAGTTGGGCCTGTGTCCGCCAGTGGAGCCCCAGGCCTTGTCCCCCGGACAGCTGCTCCACTGGACCCATTCTAGTCAGCCCACCTCTCTGGACCACGTGATTCTCCGAAGCCACCGTGCTGACGCTGCCTGGCTCACCTCCCTTCCTGCCCCTTCTAGCACCTTAGCATCCTTTAGCCCTTAGCTAAGTTAGCTCTTCCCCCAGCCTGGATTGGGGTCGCTCCTCTAGGTTTCAGCGCCTCCAGGCCTCCGCGTACCATGCTGTGATGTTAGGGCCAGATTACAGCTCTCCTGACGCGCTGAACTTTCTGCAGGCAGGAGCTGGGTCTATCATCTTGGTCCCCTGTGTCCTCTGGGCCCAGCATAGGCCTGGGCGTCTGGGACAGGAGTTAGAGCATGAGCACCAAAGTCAAGGGGACCTGGGCTTGAATCCCAGTGCACCCTGAGAAAGTGCCTTCACCATTCTGAGCCTCAGTTTTCCCCATCTGTAAAGGGGTTTCATCACTTGCAGTGAGTTCCTGGGGGTTTTTTTCATAAGCTAATGTATGTAAAGCTCCTAGTGTCATTCCAGGCGGGAGGGAAGCTCCATAGGTAGTAGCCACATTGACAGCATCGCAGACCCTCTGTGACCGCGGACTGAAGTGGGAAACGACCCCGGGAGGGGTGGCTCCCCAGGCCACCCTTCCCCCTCCTAAAGACAGTGGCCCTCCCTCCACTGCGCACGCTTGGCTCCGCGCCCCCGCCACCATGCTCACCTCCCCGCCTTGTACCCCACAGCCACCCGGCCCAAGCTGAAGAAGATGAAGAGCCAGACGGGACAGGTGGGTGAGAAGCAGTCACTGAAGTGCGAGGCAGCGGCGGGCAACCCTCAGCCCTCCTACCGCTGGTTCAAGGACGGCAAGGAGCTCAACCGCAGCCGGGACATTCGCATCAAGTACGGCAACGGCAGGTGAGAAACGCCCCTCCCTCTGTCCGACCAGCGGCCCTGCCTCCTCCCTGAAAAGGGGGGGGCCAGTTCCCGGTCCCCCTTCCTGGCTACACCGCAGCCCTCCTTGCAGCTCTGGGTCCCTCTGGTTATGGCAGCCCAGCATCTTGCCGACTGTAGATGCTTAATGAAGGTCTCTGGATGGTTGAAGGCAGTTTGATTATCAAACTCAGCGTTACCTGTGGAAGTCCCCTGTTGTCCCTAAAACTTCTCGAAGGACCTGCCTCAGGGTCTGAAACCCACCATCTGGCAACCTTTGGTGGAAGACGGACTCCAGGATGCATCTGGGAAGTCACGAGTGATGACTCCAACCTTCCTCTACCACCAACTCTCTCTCATCACTTCGCTTCTAGAAGCTTTCCCTCCACGTCCAGTGCTTGTCCCTCCTCCAGCTCTCGTCCGTCCCGCTTCTCCCCTCCACCATCAAGTAGGGTCAGTTGCCTGTCCGCTGACTGCACCCTGTGGTCCTCTCCACGCCTCCCTGCCCTGCTGGAATCTGCCTTCTAACTACACTCCGCTGCCTACTTCGGGCCCCAGGCCTCCAGGCCTCTGCAGCCGCTGGCTCTGCGGCCTCTGGGGCTGCCCCCTGGGCCCTCTGTGCCTCTAACCACTCTCTCTCTCCATCACCGTCAGTGCTGGAACTTTCCAGGCTTGGGGGCTTCCCTCTTCTCCCTCCCACCTCCCTCTCCGCTTGGGGGTGACTTTACCCTCTCCTAGCTGATAACCTTGTCCCTAGTTGGATGCCTTTATATATATATATCTGAGTTCCAGACCCATGCTGCCAACTAAACACTAGATCCCACCCCTGAGAGGCCCCCAGACAGCTCTAACCCTGTGTGCCCCAGTCTAGCCTCTCCCCTGCGTCGTCTCGGGCCCTGCCGCACCCTCCTGTCTCCCCTCTCGGCAGCGGCAGAATCAGACGGCCCACTGCCTGGCACCTGCCCCCATGCCATCCCCACCAGCAGGAGACTCCCTGCTCTCCTGCTTCCAGCTTCTTTTCCCCCGCTGTCCCACTCTTGGCCGTCCCCATTCTTCCTGGGCCACAGGCCCCTTTGTGAGTTCGCTGTACGTAACACACGCACATGGAACGTCAGCTGTGGGCCAGGCACTCTGCCCAAGGCTGGGCCTACACCAGAAATTGAACCACACATGGTCCCTCCCTACCTTCACAGAGCTTCTAGTCTAGCTCCCAGTCCAGAAGGTGGTAGAGGCCTCCACCCTGTCTTCCGAAAAAAAGGTGCCTTATCCACCCGGTTTTGCTTACAGTTCTAGAGGCCCGCTGGCCCCTGTGACCTTGGCAGGGGATGATCTTTCTAACATGGATGCATATCTGATCATTCACCCACTTACGTGACAGATCTTGAGAGCCTGCTGTATGTCAGCTAGAGCCCAGGCCTCAGGCCCTTCCAACTCCCCTCTTCCTCACCTCTAAGTCACTGCCATGCTCTTCCCCAACCCCCCAGTGCTCCTGATCCCTGGTCTTTTCCTTTCATGATCCCGGACTTGGGCCCACGCTGTTTCCCGTGCTGGCAGCTACCCCCCCCCCCAACTTTGTCCCTAGCAAAGTTCTCCAGGCCCAGATTAAATGTCATATCCTCTGGGACACCTTCCTGAACCCTCCAGGCAGCTCTTATGGTCCCCTCTCATGGTGCTTTGGAAATGGTTTCATTGTATTTTGGGGGGTTGTCTCTCCCTGTAGCACGAGAGAGCCTCAGAGTCTGAATGCCGCTCATATACACCCTTCTGCCCTGTAAGGGCCTGGCAGGGACCTGCAGTCAGTGTTGAATGAATGAGGATCTTGCAGGACCAGCCCCCCTCTCCTGGGTACAGGGTGACACTAGGACTGGACAGCCTTTGGGTTGACCTAGACTTTGAGCAAGTTCCTGTCCTGGTCAAGCCTCAGTCTCATCTGACAAACGGGTTACCCGGTCCAGAAACAGGGCCTTGTCAGGTCTTTCTGTCCTGGGTATTGGGGACCCCTAAGAGCCTGAAGTGTGCCCCCTGCCCTCTTCCTATTAGGGCCCTGTCTCATTTGCTGCAGTCCCAAAACATCCTCGATCCACCTATCCCACCCCTGGGCTCCCAGCAGTGAGTTGACGGGGTGGAGGAGTGAGCCATGATGGAGAACTTCGGATTCCCTCGCTGTGGCAGAGACGGCCGCCCCTCCACACGCACACACACTTCACCTGGCATGGGAGCCAGGGACATGAGGAGGAGTCTCCTTGCTGGCAGAATCTTCTCTTTCCTTCCGCCCACACTACAGCTTGCTCTCTGCCCATCGTAGCACTCCATCTGCCAGGCCACAATCCGTCGTGACCAGGCTCTTGGGCTACAGAGGCCGCCTCCCCCAATAGCTGGTGCTGTCTCTGGGGCCACCACACTGAGGTGTCTCACCCAGGCCGTCCTGTGCCAGAAGAAAACCAGCCCCCCCAAGCCCTGGGCGCAGGGCCCTCCCCTGCGGAACCACATGTTCCCTTATTTATGAGGGACAAGCTACAACAGGCCCCTCAGGCAGGCAGCGGGAGGTAGGCATGGAGGAAAATGTGCGAGTGGAGGATGCGGCCGCCCAGATCCCGTCCCTGCCGGCATTAAACTAGCGGGGGGGGGGGGGGGGGGCATCTGTCGCAGGGCCAGACCTGAGTCAGTGTGGCAGGCGGGCATCGGGCCTACCAGGAAGGTGGGACAGAGTCCCGAATCCTCAGCGTTTCCGACTGGAGCTAGGAGTGACAAGAGAATGTAGCGGCCCCTGCTCCTTCAGGGCTGAGAGACCCAGAGAGCCCCTACCCTGCAGCTCTGACCCCAGGACCTCTTCTGCAAGTCCAGGGCGCCCTCCCCGGCACTGGCCAGATCACCACCCAGCTGAGAACGAAGGTGCCTACAGCCAGCAAACCAAGGCGCCCTTGTTTCTGTCCACTCGCCTCTTGTCAGCTCCTCAAAGGAGAGGCATCTCCCTGAGCCTTGGACCGACTTTCCACAGGCCTCACAACCTTCTGTGGGAAGGCCTTCCTCCCATTTCCAGCCTTTATCCCTCCAGAGATCTGGAGCCTAACTCCACCTTTCCTGCTACCTAGGATGTGGTGTAAGGGGAGCTCCTGTGAATTCAGCTGTGGGTGACAAGGAGCTTCTGGCTCTGTGCCCCCTATCCTCTGACCCTGCGACCCTCAGGTGGTCCCCTGCTCTGCTCATCTAGTGTCGGGGAATTGCTGGTGGCCAAGAAGTGAGAGAAGCCTGGTCCTGAGGCCGCTGGGCTTTGTGGCAGCGGATTAGCTGAAGCCAGGAAGGAGATTAGCTGAAGCCAGGAAGGCAGCGGATTAGCTGAAGCCTCCAAGGCTCCGTTTAAGGAAGAGAACGGACTTGAATTGACAGAAGAGGACTGTAGGCAGACACCAGGCCAAGGAGACAGAGACTGGCTTGAGCTGGGAAGGGTTGGAGGGACGGGGCGGTCAGATAGCTGTGGCCGAAACATCGGTGAGGACATCACCACAGCAACAGGGCCTGTTGACAAGACAACCCCATGGACCCTCCTTTGGAGGATCTTGGAGTGAGGAGGTCGGGGAAGAGGCCCCCCGAGGCAGCAGTGAGCCCAGGAAACAGGTTCCCAAAGCACAGCCCCAGTGGGGATGGGGGTCAATTCTCTGGCTCCTGCACTCGCGGCCCAGCCTCGCCTCCCCTGCCCTTCCCCCATCAGCATCACGGCTCTATTTTTCATCCCTGGGCTTAGGACAGTGGCAGCTGGACTACCCTACCTCCTGTTCCACCACCCCTCTAACACGCTACACATATTCTGGGAATCTGGTGTCTTAATTTGGGACTAAAAAGAGGAGGTTACATCATGTAAAGAAATTTTCATGCTACTTCTTGTTTCCCCCTGGGGCCCAGGCTGGGCCACTAGGCTTTATCCAGAGCTCAGAGGGGCCCCAGGCCCCTGAGGAGCACTGGGGCAGAGGGTGGGATGGGAAGGGTGAACAGACCCCGCAGAGCCCAGGCACCCTGGGGCAGGGGCAGAGGAACCCTGGAAAGGAAGGAGAGGTTTGGCAGGGTCTTCGGAAAGAAGAGGGGAACCAGGGCCTGGTGCCCTGGAGTCACACACAGCCCATGGTCCCTGCCCAGGCCTGGCCCCACAACTCTCGGCATGCAGGGACGGGGTGCAAAGCCCTTCGCAACGGAGGCTAGCCCCCCAGCCTCTGGCTCTGGGAAATAGCCCATGAGCCCCTCACCAGCTCCAGCGCCTCGTCCACCTCTGCCTCTGTCTTGCCAGGCCCCTTCGCACAAGTCCCGAAGCCCCTGTAGGACTCAATTTCCCCATCTGTACTGCCTATCCATCTCCCGGTTAGCCAGGAGGGTCCAGTCAGGCCATAAGGACCAGGATCTGTCTGTTCCCTTGAGGGATCCAAGCTTCCAGCTCATAGAAGGCACTCAGTAAACAGTTATTAAATGGATGGATGGATGAAGGAATGCATGCATGCATGAAGGAAGGACGCTAAAGCCCCGGGGAGAAGCCACAGAGTACCCCTAGTGGCAGGGCTGAGGTGAAGGCGGGGGAGCCACGGGTTGGGACTGGGCGGCTGGACACAGGTGCCACGGGAGGCTGTGAGCTCAGGGGCCTGCCCCGGGCCCTGGGGACGGGCCTTCCGTGTCTAGAGCGGCAGGCTGCCACTCCCAAGGGAAGGCTGAGGAACTGGTGAGCAGTGGCTGCCCTGTTTTGAGAGGGGCACACTGGGACTGGGGGAAGGGACCCTGAACGGAAAGGAGAGAGGTAGCCATGTGACTGCCTCAGGAGATCCCACTTTCCTCCCCCAGAGAAAGGCTACAAAGAAGGTCCAGCCCCGGGAAAGTGGACAGGAGGATTCGCAGATGAAGAACGTACATGCAGCCGCTAGCTCTACCCTGTGCTCTCCTGAGCCCCCAGGTCTCCCTGCAGCTCGGGGAGCTCAGCATTCCACCTGGAGCCCAGAACCTTCTTCCGATCCACCCTGTGCAGCCACTGTCGCTCTGTAGGGAGAGGTGACCGCTGGGTGACCGCTGGGGAACCACAGCCAGCCTGAGCCTTGGCTCACATCTCTCCCCCTCTTATCCCCTCCCTAACCAGAAAGAACTCACGACTCCAGTTCAACAAGGTGAAGGTGGAGGATGCTGGGGAGTATGTCTGCGAGGCTGAGAACATCCTGGGGAAGGACACGGTCCGGGGCCGGCTCCACGTCAACAGCGGTAGGTGGTCCCCCCACAAAGGGAGGGGTCCTGCAGGGGGTTGGTGGGGGCAGGCCAGTTGCCCCCAGCCCTCAGGAGGCCCGCACATGATCCATCGTGCACTTGCCTCCCCTCCCTCCTGCTGCTGCCATATCAAGCCCCAGGATCTGGGCCGATTCAGAGAAATGCAGTTGAAGCATAAATGTTTAGCTTTGTTATCTGGGCCTGGAAGAGCCGCCAGCTCTCATTTTAAATATCCTGAAAACTAAACATTTTGAAATCAGGAGGTGGGGGCAGGGGAAGGATATTTTTAGAAGGCAATTATGGGAGGCTGGGCTGCCAAGAGCGGGGCTCCAGGGAGAGGCAGGCCCTGGGCGTGTGGGAGCTGACTGCCTGTTGCTTTGCCGGGCCCCCAGGTTCAGGCAGCCCGTCTCCCCGGGGCCACGGCCAGGAGGCTGGGCTGTGTGGGCTCCTGCGGGCAGCAGACCCTTCTCCCACAGGTGGGCCTTTCCCTTAAACACATGCAAGGTCAGAAGCCCACGGCCGCCACGGCACCCTTAGCTTCCCACCTCCCCCGTGGCAGTCCAGTGTCGGCACCCAGGCAGCCTGCTTTCCCTTGGCTGGAAAGTGGCCAGAGCTGCCTGTCCTCAGGCCGCACACTTCCACTCTAGCCCGGGAACTCCAAATCCCACAGATCGCTCTCCCCCTCCCAACACCCACACACTGAGCATACCATTGGGCTACCTGGTTCTTTGGGTTCACTTCCAGTCCTGCCCCTGTCAGTCTAATCCTGCAGCTGCCTTCGCCTGCCTGTACAAGGTAGCCCTCCAGGACTCCCGAAATCCAGCATTATCTAAAGAGAATGTGGAACGTTCCCTGCCCCGGGACCCTCAGAGGAAAACCTGGTGCAGACCCGGTCTGTCCCGTACCGTGAGGGGCTCTCTGTGTTCTCCCAGCCCCTCAGGCTTCTCGCCTCCCTCGCCGCTGTTTCTTAAAGGTCCAAGCCTCCAGGTCCTGGTCTGTCTTCTTTCTGGATCTTTCTCACATCTGTACCTCCCACTCCAACCCTACCTCAGAGGCAACCCGGCCCAGGTTTCAGCCCTATTCACCTAAACCAGAGCAATGGCCTCTTAAGATGCTTTCGTCTTGTCATGCCCCCACCCCGTGGTGCCACAGAACAAGAACTTCGTCCCACAGCCTAGAACCCACCAACCTGGCCCTAACGATCTTTCCTGTTCTTATTCTTCCTCTCGTGCTATCTCTCCCAGGCTACGGTCCGCCCCGACCCCTCCCTCCCACCACAGTGTCATTCCCAGCTCAGGTCCTGCTCCCAGGTGGAATTGTGAGCCAGGAGTGGGGAGAGCGGGGATGGTGCCCTCTCCCCAGGAGTTACAAGGAGAGCTACTGTTTACTGAGAGCTTGTTCCGTGCCCCCTTCTATACGATCTCTTGAGCTCTGACAAACCCATGGTGTAGCTCATCATTTATGAGACTGAAGCTCAAAGAGGTTAAATATTCTGCCGCACGTCTAACTGATGGTTAAGGAGAGGTCTAGACCATGTAAAAGTAGGTAGCGAACACGGAGACCGTGAGCTCCGTGGGGCTAGGTCTCGCCTGACTGCCGCTCTCGCTCAGGGCCTAACACGGTGTCTGGCTCATAGTCAGCGCCTGGTAAATAATATAGAAAAGGACTTATAACCTGCTCCAAGGCCTTTACCGACTCCCACAGGCCCCGGGGGTGGGGTACGTGCCCCCCCCCGCCACCGCTCCTCCCCACCTGTCCCAAGCCCAGGAAAATGGACCATGCTAGGTGTCCAGCACCCGTTACCTCTAGCCATAGTGGGCAGACATTCTTAAATCCATTTTGGACTTGACGTTTCTTGTTTTGTTCAAGATTTTCTTGGTTAGAACGGGCAGGAGGGGCACCTGGCTGGCTCAGTCAGTGGAGCATGCAACTCTTGATCTCAGGGTCGTGAGCTTGTTGGGTGTAGAGATCACTTAAATAAATAAATAATTAAAAAAAAATACCCAACAAGAACCCAACTTAAAACTACTTAAGGAACGTACTTATTGGTTTATAAAACTGAGAAATCCAGAGGTAGAACCGGGCTCAGACACGACAGAGTCCAAGTACTCAAATAGGGTTCAGGATGCCCTCTCCCACGGTGTGTTGTACTCGTTCTCTCCTTCTGTAAAATGGGCTTCTCCCGTGTTTGGGGAACAGATAGGGAAGAAGAGACCATGGCCTCAGACAGCTCCAGGTTTCACATCATCCCGGCCTCCCACCCAGGGAACACAGACAGCTCTCCTCTGCATCCTTCACATGACCCCAAGGATGGGTGCCAGTGGGTCCTGCTTAGTTCATGTGCCCCGCTTGGCCCAGTCACTGGCCTCAGGGGATAGGGGTGGTATCCTTGCCAGGCTTGTGAGCATGCCAAGGGGATAGAGAGGCAGAGTCCAGTGAGGGGTGGCCCTGCCCAAACTACACGGGGGGGGGGCTTTCCTAGAGGGGTGCTCTAGGAAGAAGCAGAGGAGGAGGGCAGGGCTGCCATGCAGAAAACCACAGTAGCAGCCTCGCTGCGGTGCTGGCCTTGGGGTCTGAGGCTGGAGACCCTTGGAAGATCCCCGCGCCCCACAGGAGCTCCTGTCTGCGCTCAGCAGCCCGTTCTGATCGGTTAGGGACCGGGGGGCTGCCCCAAGGGCTCCTTGCCTCTCTGCCCTCCAGCCCAGCATGAGAGCAGCTGGCCTGAGCCACACAGAGTCCCGAGCTTTGGTCTCTTCCGAGCTCTGTGAGCCTGGGAGACTTACTCCACATCACTTGTCTTCCATTTCCCCAGCTGAGACTGAGCCGGATGATCTCTAGACTCTTGCCCCGTAAAATCTGAAGATTCTGAGTTTGGTATCGAGACGGACATCCTGTGCACCTAGCCCCCACCACACACACACACACACACACACACACACACTCACACACTCACACACTCACACACTCACCCCACCTCTTCCTTGCCCTGTTCAGTCCATGGCAGGCCCCTACCCTTGACATGGGGTGACGAACAGGGCCCCTGTGGGGGCGCCGTTTCCACAGGCAGAGATGCCCAGGCTCCTTGTTTACCCATGGAGCCCAGAAGACCTGCAGCAACCACACCCTGGGGCGGAGGTGGAGGGCGGGTAGTGGGGAGCTGTGCCTGCCCCCTGTGACTCATCCCAAGGTGGGTTGGCTTGGCCCGCCCAGGCCCCAGGGAAGCCAGGGCCACAGCGGTGGGGTGACCAGAAGAGGGCATGGGAGGGCGCAGGGAGCAGTGGCCGTGCCAGGGGCATCGCTGGGACCCTGGCGGCCTGCTTGGGCTCTGTTGCCGCGGAGCGTGAGGCTCCTTCCCCGAATCGGAGCAGACCCTGCTTACGGTCACAGTTCTGCCAGCTCACAAGACACCGCCTCCCTGGTTGCCTGGGAGGAGGAGGAGTCAGCAGGACATTTGTGGGGCTTTTAATAAAACAATCAGCTTGGTCCAGCCCACCTCGGAGTTCGAGAAACCAGCTGCCTCATCCCCAACTGAAAGAGAACTTGGGAACGTCCTGAGGTGGCTGTCCCAGTCCCAGGATGTCCAGCTGGGCTTCGCTCCGCCCCAGAGCGGACGCAGATTTGACCTGGGGAGTCACAGGACCGCGGAAGCCCTGCAGAGGCTTCTGGGCCTGTCCCTCACCTGGGAGCTTAGAAAGGTTCTCTGTACACACACACACACACACACACACACACACACCTGCTCTCTCGCTCACCTATTCAGCAAGGCCTTACTCAGAAGGACCAGGTTCAGAGCTCTGGGGAGTCATAGCTTTGGCTCCCAGTGAAGTCCCTCAAAGTTCCAGGCAGGACGCCAAACCCAAACTGAAAGCATCTGCCTGTCCTAACACATGAAAGAGGAAAGGCAACTTTACCCACACGAAGGGGGCATCCTGGGCAGGTGGGTGGGAGCTTTGATGAAGGGAGATCACTTGATCGGGGCCCGAAAAGGTAAGTGGAGTTTCCCCCATGAGCAGTGGAGAGGAATTGCGGCAGTCAGCAGCAGGGAGAGTGTCTCCTGGCTCTTCCCTCAGAGCCTCCGAAAGCTCACGCCCACCAAGACGCTGATGGCTGGGGGAGGCCTCCTGGGTTTACCCTTCCAGGCATTTTTAATTTTAATTCCAATGTAATTTACATGCATTATATCAGTTTCAGGTGTACAATAGAGGGATTCAGCCATTCTGTACCTTACCCTGTGCTCACCACAAATATACTTCTCATCCCCATCACCTATTTCACCCATCCCCCCACCCACCTCCCCTCTGGTCACCATCAGTTTGTTCTCTAGAGTTAAGAGACTTCTGGGTTTTTTGTCTTTTTCTTTGTTCCTTTGTTTTGTTCCTTAAAGTCCACATAGGAGTGAAATCATATGGCATTTGTCTTTCTCTGATTGTATTATTTCACTTAGCTTTGTACCCTCTAGATCCATCTACATTGCAAATAACAAGATTTCATTTTTTATGGCTGAGTAATATTCCATTCTATATCGCATCTTCTTTATCCATTCATCTATGGATGGATACTTGGGCTGCTTCCAATTTTGGCTATTGTAAATGCTGCTACAATAAACATAGGGGTGCACATATCTTTTTGAATTAGTGTTTTCATATTCTTTGGGTAAATACCCAGTAGTGGAATTACTGGATCATATGGTAATTCTATTTTTAATATTTTCATACTATTTTCCACAGCAGCTGCCCCTGTTTACATTCCCACCAACAGTGCATTAGGGTCCTTTTTTCTCCCCAACCTCACCAACACATGCTGTTCCTTATGTTTTTGATGTTAGCCGTTCTTCCAGGCACTTTTAAGATTTTATTTATTCATTTGAGAGAGACAGAGAGCGAGAGAGAGCACGAGTGGGGAGAGGGGCAGAGGGAGAGGGAGAAGCAGACTCCCCAGTGAGCAGGGAGCCCGTCGCTGGACTTGATCCCAGGACCTGGGATCATGACCTGAACCAAAGGCAGACGCTCAACTGACTGAGCCCCCCAGACGTCCCCCGGGGAAAATCAAAAATTTTTGAGATATAACTTACAGACCATAAAATTCACCCTTTTTTTTTTTTTTTAAGATTTTTTAAATTTATTTGACAGAGAAAGAGAGAGCACAAGTAGGCAGAGTGGCAGGCAGAGGGAGAGGGAGAAGCAGGCTCTCTGCTGAGCAGGGAGCCAGATGTGGGGCTCGATCCCAGGACCCCAGGATCATGACCTGAGCCGAAGCCAGCCGCTTAACTGACTGAGCCACCCAGGTGCCCCAAAATTAACCCTTTTTAAAGTATATAATTCAGTGGCTCTTAGTATATTCACAAGGTTGAACAACCATCACCACTAATTCCAAAACACTTTCATCACCTCAAAAAGAAACCCCATGCCCGTTAGCATTCACTCCCCATGCCCCCACCCCTCTGCTTCTGGCAACCACAAATCTATTTTCTGCTCCTATGGATTTACCTATTCTGGACTTTTCATATAATTAGAGTCATACAGTATGTGGCCTTTGAGGACTGCTTTCTTCCACTTACCATAATGGTTTTGAGGTTCATCCATACTGTAGCACATACCAGTACTTCTTTCCTTTTCGTGGCTGCATGATACTCCATTACGTGGCTAGTCCACATTTTGTTTATCCCAGTCAGTGATTTGGGTTGTTGGGTCATCCAAGTTTTTCCCCATCTGGGCTCTCATGAATAATGCTGCTGTAACATGCAGAACAAGTTTTGGTGCGCACACAGGGGTCCAGTTCTCTTGGGTATATACCTAGAAGTGGAATTCCCTGGCCATATGGTAACTCAGTTTAATTCTGACTGTATTCCAAAGTGGCTGCACCATTTTATACGTCCCCCAGCAAGGTATAGGGATTCCAAATTCTCCACATCTTCACCACCCCCCTGGTTCTGGTCCGTCTTTTTTATTATAGCCATCCAAGGGGGGTGTGAAGCGGCATCTCACTGTGGTTTTGAGTTGCATTTCCCCGATGACCTTCTGGGAAGATCTGCGTGTAATAGGAGACAATGCTTTAGTCTATGGAAAAGTTATCATCAGGCCAAGTTGACCAGACAAGCTCCTGGATGGTAGAAGGCACCTTACTCGGAAAAATCAGATGTTCATTTGCTCCTGACAGATATCTGTAAATCCTTGTTAGGCACCTGTTACGGGTCACGCGCTACTCTAAACACTGGAGTTCATTGGTGAACGAGATAGACATGGACCCCGCCTAGATGGAGCTTACATGCTGGTGGAGGAGCTTGGCATTTAATCATGTTAGAATAAGTACTTTAAGTACAAGTGTATGCAGCTAAGAGAAAGAGAAAGGGAGGAGCCCGGGCAGCCTCTCTGACACACTGGTATTTTGGAAGTCCAGGACAGGAAGACCCCTAGCTTGTTAGAGGAGCTGGACTAAGCCAGTACAGTCTGAAGATATTTTTTATCTTCACCCCAGAAGATACTTCAAGAGAGGGACAGGACATGACGTGGGAGAGGAGTTGGGGGCCTTTATGCTGAGGGAAAGTGGAAGCCATTGGAGGATTTTGAGAATGGAAGTGATTGATCATTTTTACCTATTTTAAAGACCACTTTAACAGCAGGAAGGCAAAAAGGTGAGAAATGAAGGCAAGAGTGAGGGCAGAAAGACCAGTGAGGAGGCTGTTGCGGTCATCCAAGAAAGAGACCGTGGAGGCCTGGGCTGGGAAGTGGTGGAGACATGTGGCCGGAGCCTTGTGAACAGGTAGACAGACAGCCTCGGAGATGGATGAATGGATGGGGAAAACAAAGGGGGAGAAGAAATGAAAGATGCTTTGGTCCCAGCATCTTTGGTCTTTGGTCTATGCTGCTCAGTCAGTGGGATGAGTAAGCCTGGGGAAGCAAGTGGCCTGGCAGATGATCAGAAGCCCCATTTGGGAAGCCTAGGGGCCATCCCAGTTGGGGGGTCAAGGGAGCAGCCAGATTCTCCAACTTGGAGTATAGATGTCACCTTTACTTCCCCAAACGTGGGCGGACACAGTGAAGAAAGACGGATATGCTGACAAGGGAGCATAGACCATGCTGCCTTGCGGGGAGTCCAGCGCAGGCCATGCATCCCAGCTGAGGCCCCATCTTCCTTCAGGAGCCGTTGTCTGCCTCCCAAGGCCTCCATGAGCACAGACATACATGTGGACAGGCCCAAGTATACGGCTGTGGCCCCGGCCACCATCCTCCCTGCTGTCTACTGCTCACTCAGCGTAGCTGTGGGCAGTCTCTGCCACCCACGGCCACAGAGGTAAACAAGCCTGTGGTCCACAAGCCGAGACTTCTCTGCCTTAGCCAACACCCACGAGAGGACCCAAGCCTGTGGTCCACATCGTATCTGCATTCGCCTGCTCATGACATGCCTCATGTTCTTCCACGGGGGTCTAGCTGGCTGGTGAGAATGCTCAACCAGGTGTCAGGAGCCCTGCGGCCTTGTCACCACACACAGTGACTCTAGCCAGGCATTCCCCTGCCCCTTTCCTTCACTCCTCCTTGGCAACGTAACCGAAGGGCAGGGCAACCTCTGGTGTCCTCCAGAGCAATGGATTTTGCAACTCGCAGGCAGGGTCACCTCAGCTATTTCTCTTCTCTGTCCCTTTCTTGGTTCCCTGGGTCTCCCTGACCCAGCGTGGGCAGCGACCAGCAGAGGCCTCCCGTCCCAGCTAAGTGTGGTGGTGTGTGTGGGAGGAGACCTCCACAGGGGTGGGGCTCGGGGGGGCCAGAGCGGCCACAGGCACGGTGTGGAGGGGAAGGTGGGAGCTGGCCCTGCCCGCCGGGTTTTATCAGCGAGCTCCTCAGACATATACAGAGGCAGAGCTGTGTATATACCCCCAGTCCCCGCGCTCCATCTGTCTCCCACATGTCTAAACACTGAGGGCGCCAAGTGCCTGCCCTCCTCCTCCTCCTCTTCCTCCTCCTCTCAACCCCATCACCACGGGGAGGGGGCGGGGAGGGACTCGGTACCCCTAAGGAGACAGGAGCAGGCGAGGTAGGGTGGGCCACCTCAGGCAGGAGGCCGCTGCTGAGCAGGAGCAAGAGATGCTAGGAGCCCCAGAGGCTGAGGTGCTACCCAGTCTGGATGCGTGGCCTCGGGCATTAGCTAACAGAGGAAAACCAGCACTGGGGGCAAGACTTTTCCCTTGAAACCAGGTTTCTGGATGCCATCCCCTGAGGGGAGCAGAATTTGAGTTATTTTCATTTAGCAAATGAATCTGAGCCATCAGATGGGCGGTCTCGGTTGGCAGCCTAAACGCCCCGTCTCACGCTCACCCAGTGTCCACGTCCCAGCCACCCTGCAGGCCTCTCCCCAGCCCACCTCCCCTCCAGCAACCTGACCTCCAGGGTTTATAGCCTGGGCCGTCGCGGCCTGGAGGCTCCCTTCAGACACAGCCGCTGCCTGAGTCGGGGAGGATGGGGCTGCCTGATGGGGGCAGAGGCAAAGAAAACCCTGGGTGCTTATGGAGAGGGGCATAGTGGCCTTTGTAGCAGTCCTGAGAGGCTTGTCCCCTCTGACAAAGGAGGAAGACGTGGGAGCTAAGATTCTCCTCATGTCTCTTGAGATCTTAGAGAACGAGTCTCCAGAAGGGGCCATTCCCCTCCAAGCCCAGCTCCCTTCCAGCCACCTCCTGGCCACCTTGAGATCCCAAGCAGTGCAGATGGATGTAGAGGTCTCCTCCCTGCACCCCACGAAAGACCGCATGTCTCATCTACCTATGGTGGAGCCCCCAGAAAGGCAGGAATGAAGTGGGCTCTTATTCCAGTAGAAGGAGTATTTCCCGCTAGCTTCTCATCTCTTCCCAAACAGAGAAAATCGTCGTGGCCTTTGGAGGTTTGGGTACTTCGGCCCGGAGTACAGGTGCAGGGTGGCGCTGGGCAAACGGTCAGAGCTCCTGGTGGCCTCCCCTTTGCCTTGCTGGTGACTGGGAGGAACCGCCAGACCTTCCCTCTCAAGTTATTCCTGCGGTTCCTGATCTTCCAGCTCTGAGATGGGCCACGAAGGGCCAGCAAAGAGGTGGTTCCTGGGGCCCAGAGGTGGTCTCAGTGGGTCACGGGCACGTGTCTCTCATACCTCCAGTGAGTACCACCCTGTCATCCTGGTCGGGGCACGCCCGGAAGTGCAACGAGACGGCCAAGTCCTATTGTGTCAATGGCGGGGTCTGCTACTACATCGAGGGCATCAACCAGCTGTCCTGCAAGTAAGTGACTGCTGGGGGCGGGCTGAGGGGCGAGAGTAGGGTGAGAGAGGCTGGGGCAGAAGCCGAGGGCTCTAGGAAACGTGCGCTTCAAGCCACGGACACGGGGTCCCCAGGGGCTGTAGACAGGGAGGTTTGCCCCTCTCCCTAGCCCTTTCTGGGCATCGAGGGAGCTGTCGACCCTCAAGAGCTTGGGGCTTCTGCAGTGCCAGTTCCTCAGGCCCCAACCCACCCCACCCCACCTCCCAGTGTCCACCCTTTCACTAACACCTATTAGGGAGATGGGGATGCCAGTCTATGCCCTAGGCACTGGGCACTGGGTTCTCTCTCTCTCTCCCCCTCCTGCGCTCTCTCTCTCTCCCCTCCTGCGCTCTCTCTCCCCCCCCCGTCTCCCCCCCATCTCTCAGGAACTCTCCAAACTGTGTTCTGATGAACATTTCCCAGCAGTGTCTTCCCCAGCAGTGAAGAGCTTGGCAGGGTCAAGCAAAGCACAACTCCCAGTGCCCTTGGTAGTGAAGGGTCTGCTCTCCTAGCCTTGAGGGGAGACAAGGACTCTGCATCCAGTGCTCACCTCAAGACCTGGCCGCTCCCCCTGCCCAGTGTCCAGCTATGCCCTGGGTGCTGCTTGTTCCATTTCCGACCCCAGCCCCCCTCTGTGGAGTGAAAGGACACCAGTGAGGATACGGCTCTGGGTGTGGCCCAATGGGGGAGGTCAGGGTTGAGGAGAAGCTCGAGCTGGGGCCCCTCTACCTCCAGCCAGGTAGGGCTCCCCAGCAGGATCTCCATCCCGCTCCCCTTAGCCAACAGGGCAGACGGGAACACAGCAGTCCAGGGCTTGTGCAGGTCCAGCTGGGTCCTATTCACGCAGCCGGGCCCACAGTTGTGAATGAGGAGCCGGAGATGAGAGCAGTGCAGGTTCTGGCCAGATCGAGGCGGGGGGGGGGGGGGGGGGGGCACTAGTTCACAGCTTTGGGTTTTCAAAGCACCCCAAGCCTAGGACCCTGGCGAGGTGCCACAGTTGCCCCATTCCCATGGCATCTGGGCAGAGGCCACCAGAGTACGGGGGCAAATCAGAGAGAGGCATTTGCCCTCCCCACAGACAAGGTCAGATTCAGCACTTCTCAGCTCTCCTGCCTCTGGACTCCAGCTCCAAAGCTGCATCTCCCCGTTGACTACAGCCTTAGCCCAGGACCCCCCACCTCACAAGGTGATAATGAGGGTGCCTCCTTGGCACTCTCCCCTCCGTGCTGCGCTGGGTGGGCCGGACTGCCAAGCAGATCTGGCCTCCTTTGCTGGCTTCCCCCCAGCCCCACCCTTCGCCTGCTGCCATCCCCTTACTGGCCTCCCCCATCCTGAATTTCCGGGGACTGTCCCAGCAGCAACAGCAGGTCCCCCAGGGAACTTCTCAGCCTGGACTCGGCCCCTCATCTTTCCCCTTCTTCTGCCTCTAGGAGGCTGCCACATTCATGCAACAGACCCTGGGGAACATTCTAGCTGTGAAAACACTCTGAGCTCTCTGCAGGAGATCTATAGAAACTCCTAAGGGTTCTGATATACCTCACAGACATCCCCCAGCCCTGTACGCCCCTCTTCTTTTACTCCCCGACACACACACACACACACATACCAGGCCTTTCCTCTTCCCTAGCCCCTCGGACCCTGGAACCTTGAAGGAATCTAGCAGCATCACTGAGATCAGCCCTGGCTCCAGGCAGGGAAGGTTTCAGCCACCCAGGACAGGTGCCAGGGCCGAGGAAGGCCATGGGGGCCCAGAGCTCCAGTGCTAGTGTTTAGTGTGGAAAGGGGTGTGATGAGCTATATGGGTTCCCACAGGGTCCTGCCAGCAAGGCTGTACCCCTAGGACCCTCTGAGTCACACCCAGCTAAATCTGAGAGAAACAGAGGGCAGGAGCCTCAATCGTTGTGAAGATGGTGTCCTGTGGGCAACTGGGGTTCACTACTTAGAACTTGATGTTGGTACCCCAAACCACGACCTCCCCATTTTAACCTGCCCTAGGTCAGCCCCAGCCAGGGCTCCTGGAACCAACTTTCCCTGACTCCCTGAGCCCTCAGGGGAGAGGGGCGTCCCTGGTGAGGATCACTTTCAGGAGGGCAGGTCCTCAGAGCTGTGCTGGAGAAGGACAGGGGGGAGGGGGGCAGGGCAGAACCCAGAGGCCATTCTGGGGGCGGGCGAGCCAGGAGGGAAGTGGGGGGCAGGCCTCTTGGGATTCCTGATGACACCTGAATGGAATAAAAAGGAAAGAATCTAGGAAATGGAACTCACGTCTTACCATTTGTGCTGTTTGTTTACTTTTTATTTTGATTTTTTTGCATTTCCGCTTAGCTTGGATAATGAAACTAGACTGGTCAGTTTCATTCCAGTTTCTATAAAAATCAGTTTTCCTTCCTGGTTTTCTGACACTTGTCGTTGTGTATTGGTTCTGAGCCCTGCAGGGAGTGTTGGGAAGCAGGCACACTCCATCCCTCCTGTTTTTCTGGAATTCAGAGCCAAAATAAACAGTATCACGGATACTGAATTTTGTTTTAAAAAAGAAAACTTAGGGGGATTGGAAAATGGGGGTCCAAATCCAGGCGACTGTCCCCTGTCTGGATCAGACAGGGGCCTCTGCACTTCTTCTCGCTGCTTTCTCCTCTTCTCTCCGTGTTTTTGTTGAGCACGGTTGGTGCGTGACTCTTGGGGACTGGTTCAGGGGATGATGACAGAACAAGACTCTTTCCAGCCCTGTGCACATACCAGCGGCATGCCTCCCTCTCCCATCAAGCTCATCCCCCCACCTGCCCCACCCCATGTCCAGGTGGTTCTCCCATCCCATACCCATCTGCCTGCTCATCCTCTCCACATCTCCACCCCACCCCTCATGAGGCCAGAGACCCTCCACCCCCCTCCAGTGCCTGGGGCACACCCTCATCCTTCATCCTCCCCTTCCCCCGGGTAAGGGCAGCACGCATGGCATTATCCCCAGGCTACCAAAAGGAGAAACTGAGGCCCGGGAGGTGGGTGGGAAAACGGGGAGGCAGAGTCCCAACCTCTCTGTCACCCCAGATACAGCCCGTGGGCTCTCCTCTCTGCCCCCGTCTCACCTCTGCTCTTCTCCAGCCCTGGGCACAGACCTTCCCACAGTCACAGTGGATGACTTGGGGGAGGGCTGAGAAAGCTAGGACCTGCCGCTCCTTCTCATCTGTCCCTTGGGCCCCTGAAACTCCCCGTTTCAGTGGGAACCTACCCACTACCAGCCAGCTCCCCACATGGAGTCAGACCCCCCCCTCGTGGTTGATAGGTTTATGCAGCCCATACCCCGCTACCTGGTCCTGAGCGCAGGGTAGCAAGGCTGTAGGCCCACCCCCAGAACCATCCCCAGGAAGCCCCAGGCTCCTGGACGTGGCTCATTCTTACCAAGCAGGAGTAAGGAGAGTCCAGGAGGCTGCTGGAAAGATCTAGTACCCAAAGAACAGTATGGGGTGCCCATCCCCCACTGCCCTCTTTTGTTCAGCCAGTGGGGAAGACACTTTCCCAGGATAGGAAGATTAGGACCAGATTACACAACGCCAGGGGCCACGTTCGTGTTAGAGACCGTACCCACGGTGCCACCTGGAGTTGTACAACTCAGTGGCCATGAAAGATAGGAGATTACAGTCCGGTTAGTCCAGGCTGGGTGTGGGATCAGCAATGCAGGGAGGTGCTTACTTATTATCATTGGTCTCCAAGAGCCATGGGACAGCATCCCTGACTGTCAGCAGTGGGAATCCATTTCCCCTTTGCCCCCTCCTGCCCCTACACTACCCCACTCTCTTAAACACACACAAGAGCCGGGCTAATCTCAGACATCGGACACAGCCAAACCTATCTCTTTCCTATTCCTTTGAGGATTCTGAGAGTCGTTTTGGCAACTTCCTGGGTCTTTATTCTCCGTCCCCAAAGGTGCTGCTGCTTTAATAACCACCTCTCCCCTCCAGCCCCCACCCCAAGTGGACATCAGTCTCTGAGAGCTGAGGAAGGAGAGCTGAGCCTGACTGGAGCTGGCTGGGAAGCCTTAGCAATGACCTGCATTTTCCCGGGTGGGATGCTTAGACCAGAGAAGGATGCACTGACAAGGTGGTAGCCTCCTCCTTCTCTGAGCCACCCTGTTCCACAGGATGTGCGTGCATCAAGCCCCCTGTAACCCCCCCACCTCCCGCCACGTTCTCCAGACACACTCCCCAGCCCTCCACGGCTACGCACTGGCCAGGCATTCCTACACATCCACTACCAGCCCTGCAAGGACCAGCCTCCTGCCTCCCCTGCGGGAGACGCCACTGAGGCCAGAGAAACTCCAGCTGCCTGCAGCCCACCAACCACTCCCAGTCCCTCAGGCTAGACCGGGCAACAGGAGTTCTGCGAGGGTCTATCACAGCCAACGGCAACCATCCCCTATAAGCTCAAGGGGTTGCTGATGGTTGGTCTACACAAGAATGTTCAGAGGTCGAGTACACTCACCTCTTGAGGAGGTTTACTGATTCATGGGGAACACCTGACCTATTATTGAGGGAACACTGGCGATGGAGTTACCTAATTTCCCAATAAGGAAGAGGCAGCCCAAACCCATCTTTGAGCAGGGGAATTGGGGTGGGATGGTCAGTCTGGCCCGGTCTTTAAGCTTCCCTTAGGTATCTGGCCTTGCCGGGGTTCAGAAGATAGTACAGGGCTGGGCATGTGTCCCAGAAGTCTGCAGGACAGGGACTCACTTGAGAGTAGAGTGGCAGCCAGAGAGAAGACAGTGTACCGCGGGGGGAGGACAAAGACAGGGAGCAGGGATGGTGCTCAGCAGCTGCACAGGACCCAGCAGGGGAGGACGCACTCCCACCAGAGCCAGACAGTGATGGAGGAGCAGGTCACGGGGAAAGGACAGGCGGCCCAGGCAGCCAGGGGACCCCCGAGTGGAAGAGGTTTCGGGGCCCTCGGGGAGCCTGCTTTGGCCCTCCCCCGCAACTGTGGTTCTTGCCATGTGAAGGCAGGTGCCCCACCCCTGGTCCCGGCTGGCCGGCTTTGAGACGCTGTAAATTCCGGCTCCTCTACACACCTGTTCCTCACTAAGCCTTTTTTTTTTTTTTTTTTTTGCATATGTAGTGCTTCAGGGTAGCCTTCCCCAAACCATGTTCATAAGGGTTCCTCAAAAAACATCTTCCATGGTCAAATAAATTTGGGACATACTGGAATATTCAGCTCTTTCCTCCTACAAAACTTTTCCTAGCCTTTCATATGCCAGTGCACATTGCAGCTCTACAAGGAAACCCGGGGATGGATTCCTTAAATTTATTTGGCCACAGAACCCTCTTTGAGAGAACAGATGGAACATCTCCAAGGTCCCTTTTGTCATGGGCACACAGTCTAGAAACAGCATTCCGGAGGTCTCCTTTGAGCTTTCTGGGGGCTGTTTCGTGGATGAGAAAACCTGCCCGGGGCCCTGGAGAGAAGCCGTTGGTAGGGTCTGGAAGGCGTGGCTTCCCAGAACTTGGTCTTCTGGAAGGCTCCCAGCACCCTGCCTGCCTGCCTGCCTCCAAAGGGCTACCGTTCCAGCTTCACGGGGTCCCAGGCAGGTCAGAAGGGAAGTCTCACCGACCACAGGATAATTAGGCATGAGGTTCCCAATCTCCCCACCCACTTTCCCTAAATCATCCTCCTCTCCACCCCGCCCCTGCCCCCCACCACCCACGGAGCAACATCTATGAGAGAGATTTGGAAGATTTCTGAGCCCTCCCCCCAGCCCTGACTCCAGCCCCCTGCAGCGATGAGTGTGCCCCGCGCCCGACTTGGTTTTCTCATTCATCACTGTGCACTTTGATTTCTAACCTGAGCCTCGCGGATGATGCCAGTTTGTTCTGTGATTTTTCCCCTTTTCCTTCTCCAGATGTCCAAACGGATTCTTCGGACAGAGATGTTTGGAGAAACTGCCTTTGCGATTGTACATGCCAGATCCTAAGCAAAGTATGTTTGAAGATACAAACACAAGTCCCCGCTCCTTAGAAAGCTTCCGGGTGCAGTCCCCCCCAGCGTAGGGCCTAGGGCCAGGGGTGTTGGTTGTTTTGATCTTTGGCTGTTTTGTTTTGGTTTTTTTTCCTTTTTTGTATTTTGGTTTGTTAGTTCTTTTGTTTTGTTTTTGTTTTGCTTTGTTTTTCATTTTTGGCCTAATCCTTGGGTTGCCAGTTCAGGGCTGCAGGTAAGGGGCAGAGTGGCGAGGCCAGTGAAAGCGTTAACCGTGGCAAGGAACCCAGCCGGCGGCGGCAGGAGTCCGTGCTGGGGGGTTGCCGTGCCTGCGGCTCGCTATCCTGGCGCGCTCTTTCTGGTTTTCTTTCTTTTGGTAGGTGTCCTGTGGGATACACCGGGGACAGGTGTCAGCAGTTCGCAATGGTCAACTTCTCCAGTATGTCTCTTTCTTCTATTTCTTTCCTTCCCTGGTGACTGACAACCTGCCCCACGCGGGAGGGCTGGGGCCTTGCTTAGCGAGACTTCGAGGGGGCCGGGGAGGGCGTGGGCGTGGTGGTCGTCCTGGGCTCCTCTCGGCCCTCAGGGCTCACTGGAAGCCTGTCTGGAGGAGACGGATATGCCCCCTGCCACCCCCACCCCACCCGCCTCTTCCTCTTTGCGGGGCGCTGGGCGCAATATCACTGCGTGCTCCGCAGACGGCTGCAGCCGCGCTCCGGGCAGCCCGGCCAGCAGCGGGGAGGAGCCGGGGCAGGGCCCGCACCTGCCTTTTAAGGCCTGTCTGAGGCGGCCACGTGCTGAGGGGGCCCGGCAGCGAGTGGGTGCACGTGTGGGCCGGTGTGTTGGAGAGAGAAACAAGTTCTCCGAGAGCCTGTCTCCGGGTCTGGCCGGAGTTTGTCTGGTTTTGATTTGGGGTGACGGGGGAGGGTGGGGAAGGGGGGGTTGATGGAGAACAAGCCCCAGGGCAGTGGTTTCCGTGGAGGCCAGAGACCAGAGGCCCTTCTGTGGCTCCAGGATAGGGTGGGAGGGGGGTTTGCTGCCTGCTGCAAGATAGAGGGAATGAGGATTCAAGGGATAATGGGTGAGTCTCTCTAGGCCCTCTCTGGTCTCAGTCCCCATCCAGAACTTCATTCCCTTCCTTTCTTCGACTTGAGAGGCTGAAGCTTTCTGGTTTGCATAGTGAGCTGGGGAAAAAATGTGAGCCCTGCAGCAGAAAGAGAACGTAATTGTGGAATGTTTTGAGGCTGGGAGCAATTGCTTCAAGTGCCACCAGGTGGAGGTGGAGCAGAGCGGAACCAGGCCAAGCTGCGGCGGGGCGGGAGGGGGGGGGGAGGGGGGCGACACGTGGGGCCCACAGTCTGTTGGAGGCCACGCCCAGGCAGCCACCCTCCAGAACACTCCAGGCTCCTGCTCGGCCCACCCCCACCTCCTCCTCTCCAAGGAGGACAGCTGAGTCCTATGAAGAATGAGGAACCAAAGTGGCGGTGCCTGGGCCCAGAGACATGGAGCATCCAGAAGAGCCAAGAGCAGGATGCGGGGGGGAGGGGTGCATTTAGGTGGCCCTTGGGAGAAAAGGGGTTTGTGGGTTTGGGTCTCAGGGTGGAGTGAATGAGTCTTCCCAGTCCTCCTTAGGCCACAGCACAAAAGCCTAGAAATCTTCACCTCCTCCCTGCTAGAGCCTGGAAGCCAAGACTTGAAGAGGAAAGTAGAGGCCCCAGGGAGGTGGGGGCTGGGCGGCCCAGATGGTCAACTGTCTTGACGGAGTGTGGGAGGAAGCACTCTGCCCAGGCCCCTCCGGTAGGAGGCCACGGAGGAAGGCTGTGGGGCTAAGAGCAGAGCTGTGGGCAGGGCATGTGGTCCAACAGAATTCTTTGGAGTCCAGGCTCCAGGAAGAACTGCAGAGTTAGATCCAGCCCCACTGGAGGGCCAGAGGTCAGGAGGGGCCTCAGGAGGGAAGAGAGCAGCCAGGCCGAGGCTAAGGAGCAGGGTAGAGAGGCAGTGGAGGACCTATTCCTTTGCACCCTCAGTCCCAGAGCCTCCCTGGCTTACGGGACTGTCCTGGACAGGGAGTCCCAGCCCATCATGAATCGAGGAGCAGAGCCTCCAGAACTCGGCCACTGGCCAAGCTTCTCTGCCAGCTGGGCTGCTTCAGCTTTCAGCTCAGAGCTGCTCAGAGGGTCAGCAGGGCCCCGGGAGCCCAGAAAAGGCCTAGAAATGCTTCCACAGGCCTTTCTGCCTCGCGTTATCAGGTTCCTTGCTGTTACCTTTTCGGGAGGATTTATATTCTTCACACACTTGGCCCAGAGCACTTCGTGCATTGTTCTATCAGATACTTATTGCAAAGGCAGTAGAAAATGCTAGCTCAAGTGTTCGGGCTTTGGATTCAGACAGATGTGAATGAAGATGGCAGCCAGCTGCTGAGCTTACCAGTTCTGGGGCCTCATTTAACCTCTCTGAGTTTGTTTTCTCATCTGCAAAATGGGGACAGTGATATTTATGCCTCGAAGGTTGCCGTGAGGAGAAAGTGCAGTGATGTGTAGGAAGGGCTCGGCAGAGAGCCTGCTGCCATGGTTGGAGGGCAGCTTAGCACCTCTCCCAGCTACAGCTGGTATGGGGCGGGGGGCGGGGGGCGGGAGGGCCAGCACCAGTGCCCTGGTGGCTGACTCCCAGTCCTGAGCAGCGTCTGACTTTTCCCCTCCACCTAGACAGCCTGTAAACCAGATTACCTTTGGCAGCGGGCCACGGAAACGGCGCCCGTGGCCATGAGAGCACTTTGAAGCCTCTCCTCTTCCCCTGACAGCCCCTCCATTTCCCAAGAGTCAAACCTTGTGCATCTCTATGCCCCCCAAGTGAAAGAACACACACACACAAGCATATACTCGCACACGTGCAAACACGCATGTACTCACACGTACTCAGACACACAAGCACATGCCTGCACTCATGCAAAACACACATCTGCTCACCCCCGCACACACCTGTGCAAATGCATGAGCACATGTTCTCATCAGGGGCCCGCATCATGGCCTCCTTGGCCAGGCCCCTGTAACTGCGTGTCATTGGACATGGCCAGGATGATGACTTCGTTTGTTGTCTGGTAAACCTGGCCCTCGTGGGAGTCCAGCATCAGGTTGCCATGGTCACTGGTCAGTACCTGGTAGGACCCATCTGTGATTCAGTGGCCCCGCTCCATCCTGGCGGAGTGGCAGCCTATGAACATGCTGAGCGGGAAACATCTTTGACAGGAGCGGACTTAGCCACAGGCCCCTCAGACTCTATCCCCGGTGAGAGGGAAGCAGGGCTGCCTTCCTGGAGACTGGGCAAGCTCTCAGTGACCTCACCAGTCCTGTCGGTCCACCCCAAACAGGACTGGCCTTTGACTGAAAGGGGGGGTCCCTTAAGAGGCCCAGACGCTGCTGCTTGGTTCCCAGACCAGGAAAGCAGAAGAAAACTCTTCAATGGCTTTCGGACCCCACGCGCTTCTCCAGGTGGTCATTTTCCTCACGACTAGCCGGTCGGGCCCAGAGACCCAATCGGCAGGAAGGGCACCGCACTTCCTGCTCATGGCCCCCAGGTTCTCCTTCCTCTAGAGGAGAGGAGAATGTCAGAACACAATCTCACCTCCTCCCTGGACCTCACGAACTGACTGTGCCCGCGGGGAGGCCATATACTGGGCTCCTGTACACGCACCGAGCCTCCTGCTGTCCAGGCCTCTTGCCTCTTCCTCTCACTATGCGTGGCCCCTTTTGACAGATGAGGAAACCAGACTAGACTTGCCCATGTGCACACAGCACAGTAGGGACAAAACTAAGACTTGGAGCCTGCAGACAGGTGTTGGTCACATGAGAATGGTAGGTGAGCTTTTCAGAAACACTCTGGGCTCCCACCCGAGACCCTGATCCCATTGTCTGGGATGACTGTGAAGCGTAGCCGGGTGGCAGAGCTCCCAGAGATCCAATTTAACAGAGCCTGAGAGGTGGATAGGCCGAGAGCACTTGGAGATGCAGTGGGTCTGGGGCAGGGCTGATCCTTGGGCAGAGCCCTTTGATCTAACCCCTCTAGGGTATGGGTGCCCACTTCACAGGGCTCTGAAAGTACACATTTACAATAAGATCCCACTTCAGAAAGTGCAGTTGGCCCCGCATTTGACACATGTGTTCCGCAGCTGAACCCACCTGGCTCTTCCTACAAGTTGCAGTTGGCTTTCCTAAAGAATGAAATCAGGCTCAAACCCCAAGGCCTAGGCCTCCATAGGCTTCTAGGGTGTTGGAGGTATCACGTGGAGAAGTGACCTGCTGCCTGGAGCCTCCTCCCCTCCCCATAAACTCAGGAGCCTCCATGCCCGGGCTCCCAGTAGGTGGGCAGACCAACCACGCCTTTGGAGGCAGGACAAGGACAAGGGCCAGTCTGGGCCCCCCCACGCCCTTGTTCTGAACAGAGAAAAGGGCCCTGTGAATGAGCGCAGGGCTAAGCAGGGGTGTCCAGGAGGGGCGTGAGAATGTGGAAGGCCTGGCACTGGAGCTGGGGGGAAAGCAGGGACTCCTCGGGCCGCCACCCCCACTCACCTTTCCTCCCTGGGGACATCTGCCAACTGACTTTTGCGCCTCTGCCTCCCCACCAGGTACTAACCCCACAGCTCATCTCTAAAGAACCTGCCCTGCCTGCTGATCCTAACATTTCCTCTCTCCAACCCCCTCAGGGCTCTCGGGGACTGGGTGCCAGGGCAGGGGCTCAGGAGGCCGGGAGGGGACACCACTAACCTGCTTTCACCTCACAGGCTGGCTGCTGGTGTCTGAAGCGTCCTGACCAACGTTTCTCTCTCTCTCTCTCTCCCCCCGCCCTCCCCCACCCTCCCCGCTCCCCCATCTCTGTCTCTCCCTCCATCCCTTCCCCTCTCTGACCCTCCTCTCTTCTGCCAGAGCACCTTGGATTTGAACTAAAGGGTACGGAGCTCTATGTATCAGTCAGTGCCACGCACACCGCCCCTCTCCGCAGCCTCTGACACCATGCTCGCTGGACGTTGAGTCTCCTTTCCAAAACATGGAAAAGGGATGAGTCCAAAAATCTCCCCTGGCCCCACCAAGATGTCCTATCATAAACTACATTGATTTGGGGGAGACAAGAAGCTCAGAAGAGCAGAGCACCCCGGGGTTCACCCCAGGGTACAGCAGCACCCCCTGGCCTGAGGCCAATCACTGGGAGGCCTCCCAGGAGAGCAGCCTCCTGAGCTGGTGTCCTGGAGCCACGGCATCCTGGCTTGGAGAGTTGTGCAGAGAGGCATCCTCTTCAGTTCGACTCTAATCCTCCTTCCTGTTCCCACTTCCATTTCCATTGCTTTTCATTCTGCACCTGCACTGGCAGCTGATCTCACCCATTTGTCTCTGCCCCCTGCCCTGTGTCTGTCTGCCGGGCTTTGCCATCCGCTTGGGGCTGTCGCTCCCTCCATGATCTATCTCCACAATGGCACGCGTGTTCTTCGTCTGTGGGCAAGACAAGCGAGGGTCTAGGGTGGGCTGGCCTCTGGTGCTTGCCCTCCTGCTCCCCGGCTCAGAACCTTACCTCCCTCCCACTACTGCCCCCGGGCCCCTGGGAGACACCTTGAGTGGGAAGGGACTTGGAGGGGTCGGTCTGTCCTCTCTCTGTGCTGGGAGGCTCTGCCCTGGCCTCAAATGTCCAGACATGTTACAGCAGGAGAGAGGCAGGGGCTCAGAGGAGTCGAGGCTTCAGTGGGGTCAGACCTCAGATGCGGTACAGAGCCTACAGTATGAAAAGACTGTTCTCGAGGCAGGACTGGAGAGGCCCTGGTTCCCTCACCGCCTCGCCCCTATCAGCTCTTCTCAGGAGATAGGGCTCGAGGTCTGTGAAGAGTGTGTCTATCTGCTGATGCTGACGGGTTGGGAGGAGAGGGGCCGAGTCTGCGTGGTGTGTGTGATCGTGGCAGGATGCGTGCAGTGAACCTGTGGGGGGTGGACATCACACACCTTGTTAGGTCCCCCGGTGCGGGATGCTGCGTGCACGAAGGCGCGCGCCGGGACATCTTTGTGTGAAGGTTGAGCGTCGTGCAGGTGCAACTGTGAGGGTGTGGAGGTGAGCGGCCGCGTGTGCAGATATGTGTGTCTGTGATGGTGGGCTGGATGTCCGTTCATGCACCAACTCAACAAACATCTACTGAACCCCAGAATTTGCCAGACTATGGCGCTCTGGCGCACAGAGTCCCTGCTGTCCTGGCGCTCAAATTCACAGGATGGGACAGTCAACAAACAGGAAAGATTTCAGGTGGTGGTAAGTGCCATACCAAAAATAAAAGAAGGTAATGGGAGGGTGCCTAGCAGGGGAGGGAGTGACCTTAGCCGAGTGGCCAGGGAAGGCTTATGCGATGAGCTAACATCTGGGTTAAAACCTGATGGAAAACAGGCAGCCCTGCCAACAAGTGGAGGGGAGTGTTGGAGGAGGGGGCGTGGCAAGTTAGGGACGGTGGGTGGGGTGGGCTTGCCTGATTCAGTGGATGGAAGGGATGGCAGCACCTCTGGACACAGCAGACATGGGGACTGGACCAATGATGAGATGTAAAGGCAAGGCTGGGACCGTAACCCAGGCCTCCGAGGCCATGGTGCGTGTGTGGGCTGGACTCGAATTGCAGGGGGGAGGCCATTGTGGGTTTTCAGCAGAGGAGTAAATGATCTGCTGGCTTTGGGGCAGAGAACAGACAGGGTTGGGAGACGGGCTGGGGAGGAGTGGAAGCAGAGAAGCCAGTCAGGAGGTGCCCACCTGTCCAGGTGAGAGGGGACATCATCCTGGACTGAGCTAGAAGTGGTGGAGGCGGAACTGAGAAGACTGGCTGAAGCCTCAGATGTCAGAGCAGGTGTGGAGGAAGGAGTCATCAGCAGTGACTCCAAGGTCTGGGGCCTGAGCAACAGGAGAGGGGGTGCTGCCCCTGACGACATGGGACGGGCAGGGAGCAGGTTTGGAAAGAGGCTGGGGAATCAGCGCTTCTGCTTGGCCGTGGCCCTTGGGTAGAGGAGTCTGGAGCTCAGGGAGAAATCAGGGCAGGAGATACAAATCTGAGAGTCACCTGCATACAGAAGGTTTTAAACTCTGAGCTGCGTGAGATCATGGGAGGAGAGAGGGCAGGTGGAGGAAAGAAAGAAGCCTGAGAGCCCCTTCTACTACCTTGCGGCCCACATGGAAGAGTAGGAAGCAGCAACTGAACAGGTCAGCCAGTGAGGGAGGAGGATATGCAGGAGCGAGAGGGGAGTGGACCCAACAGGGGGAGTCAGCTGGGAGGGAAGCAAATGACCGGGGGACCTGGCAGTAGGAGGTTGTCGGTGACCAGGACCAGAGTGGTCTCGGAGCAGACAGGAGACAGATGCCCCATTGGAGAGGACTGGGGGGTGGGCAGGGATGAGAACTGGAGGCAGGACATGGACCACAGAGCCCAGAGATGGGGGTCCAGGTGGAGGGCTGTTCAAGACCGCATGATCATGTGTGTGCGTGTGCTTCTCCGGACACGTGCGAGTGTACCTTTGTGAAGGCGTCTGTCTGTGTACAGATAGGCATAGTCCTAAAGGTATGTGCGTCTGGAGGGTTTGTACTCCCAGTGTTTGCTGGTGGGTGTACGCAGGAGGTGCCGCAAGCCCCAGGACTTAGGGACATGTCCCGGGGCTCTACCTGGGTGTTGGGGTCTAGCCTCGGCGTGCCCCTGTGGAGGGGCCAGCAGGCAGGTGCAGGGAGCGGCAGGGGGTGTCCAGGCTGCTGCTGTCGCCTCTTGCCTTTTCTTCCTCCTGGTCTTCTCTGCTCTAGAAGGGCAGGAGTTGCCCCACCAAGAAGTGGGAGGTGGAGGTGGAGGGGATAGCTGGTTCTTTTTTGAGGGCTTCGAAGCCCAGCCTGGCTCAGCTCCTCAGAAAGGGGCTGCTCCTCGAGCGCAAGAACCGTCCTAGGCACCAGGGGCTCTGCTGCCTCTTGGCTTCTCGAAAGCAAAAGGAAAGGCTGAAGCGGGCCAGGGCCACGTGCTGTCCAGGCCCAGGGACCAACCAAGGCCCTTCTCTCCATGCCCCACTCCATGGGCCTAGTCCACTCTGTCCCTGTTCCTGGCATCCCTCCTGAGTCCAGCCTCCGGGTCTGATGTCCTGTCACCAGCCCAGAACAAGCCACTCTCCCACTTCTTGGAAAAGCTGAAATGGCAAGCCAGGCCTTTGCCCGTGAAGAACAGCTCTCCCCCACCCGTCCAGGCCCTTTGAAGCCATCAGGCCACTGTGCAGTAGGGCAAGGTTGCTGGTCAAGCTGGTTGCCCTCTCCTCTGGCCTCTGGAACTTCGCCTCCATCCCACCCACCGCCATCCCCCTGCATTTGCCATTCACACGCTCTGGGCAGGTGGCAGGGTTTGGGAAGGTGAATTCAGGGGTAGTCACCTGGGACCAGATCCACGAGTGGGTAGATTTCGGGGCAACAGAAGGCAATCCAGGAGGGAGGGGCTAGCTGGGGAAGGAGGAGATGCAAAGGAGCTGGGAGGCCCTGAGCTGGAGGGAGCCCGAAGCTTTGGGGGCGGAGGGGAGGGCGTCTTTGCATCACTGTCCCCACAGATCTGCCTCCTGCCCTGCCCCCTCACATCCTCTGCCTCTGCCTCTGCAGAAGCCGAGGAGCTGTACCAGAAGAGGGTCCTGACTATCACCGGCATCTGCGTGGCTCTGCTCGTGGTGGGCATCGTCTGCGTGGTCGCCTACTGCAAGACCAAGTGAGTGGCAGACACCCGGGCCTGTGGCAGGCCAGCCAGCGATGCGCCTCCAGGGTGGCTTTCGTGAGGACAGTCTCTCTTCGCCCCCCACACCCCCCCTCCCCACCCTCCTATGCCCTAACAGCCCCTTCAGGGGCCTCTGCAGCTGGTGCGGGGCCAAAGGGCTCGGCCAAGAAGCAGGAGCAGAGGGTAGAGGAGGCAGGCCCCAGAGGAGTGAACAAGAATCAGCAAGAGCCCAGGTGTCGGAAGAAGACAGATCTGGGTGCGAATTCAGCTCTCCCATGTACCATGACCCCGAGCAAACTGATGGGCCTCTCTGAGTCCTCATCTATAGAGTAGGGATGATCCTAGTAGGTACCTCGGAGGGCACTGTGAAGGAGCATCTGCCCTGTCAAGTAGGCAGGCGCGGGGGCAGTGTTGGTGGTGAGGAAGCACAGAAAGGAAGGCTACATTCCCAGGTGACAGAGAGACCTCAGGAGGCACTGTCTAGTCCCACCTGGGAGAGGTCTAGGCTACAACACAGAGAAGATGGGGCCAGGTCACCTCTGGGCAGAGGAAAAGTGAGGGCAGAACCTCGGGGCAAGGGAAGAAAGGTGCAGAAAGGGGGCTGGGCAGTTCCCAGAGAATAGTGCAAGCTGACAGACAAATGCCAGAAAGGATCAGTTGTGTTCCTAGAGCATGAGCAGCCCAGACCAGTTGGAGCAACGGCCTGGGGTCAAAAAAAGAGAGGCATGAGTCTAAGGAGACCGCTGGAACCCAGATGGTATCATAGGGCATTGAATCCCAAGCTAGGCAGCCTGGGTTTATCCTGTAAATGACAGGGAGCTCATGAAGGCTGTACAGTGACGTAATACAGGGAAAAAAATGATAGCTCTGTCCCATCCATTCTTACCTAGAAAGCAAGGGTCTGGGCATAACCACCATTTAGGGTACTGAGTCCCTCAGTCTTGACTCCTGCTACGCCCATCTCTGGGATCTAAGGCCTTGCCAGCCTTGGGAGTTAAGGCCCAAGGAGCCCAGAGGAGACTGGGCCCAAGAAGGAAAACTGAGGTCAAGAACTGGGGGAGAAGCAAACCCCTATTCTAACCTCCAGCACATTTATTCATTTCTTGAACAAACTTGCATTCAATGCCTGCTGGATACCAGGCCCTCTGCCAGGCGCATGGCCAGGGCTCTAAGCAAGATGTCCAGTGTAACGGGATACGTCACAGGGGGGCCGAACCTCAGGTGAAGGGCAAGAAGGGTTTCCCCGAGGAGGGACCTTTTAGGCTGAGCCTGGGGGGAGAGCAGGCATTGGCAGGTGAAGCGGCTGAGTGTGTCCCAGGGGGTGTAACAGTATGTGCAGAGCTGCTGAGACCAGAGAAGGCCAGCACAGGGGAGGATCAGAAGCAAGCCCCCCAAGGATACGGCAAGCTGGGTTGCGGAGAGGGCCGTAGGAGAGGGCCCGTGAAGGCTGTTCAGCAGGGGACTGACGTGACTAAACTTGATCATTACAGAACAAACGTATTAGGCACTTAATATGGCCAAAGTAAAGTGGTCCACGAGCCCCTGACCACAGCTCTGCGTTTGATGGTCCTCGTTGCACTTTCCTGAAAGTACCTTGCTCATTAATTTGTTTATATGTTTATTAATCTGCCTCCCCTACTGGCCTTCGAGCTCCATGAGGGTAGGGATTGTGTCCGTCTCCTTCTGTTCCAAAACAGCATCGGGCACATAGTAAAAACCCAAGAAATAGTGAGTGAATGAGTGAATGGACCAGTGCTTGAGTATTTTATCAGCTCTTAATTCTCAGTGGACTTTGCAGTGGGTAAGTGGTCACCCTCTTTAAGATGAGCAAAGCACAGCATGGCGAGTGTAAGTAACTGGCCCAGGATTACACAGCTAGGAAGTAGTGGAGGTCTAGGCTCTCAGCAGAGCCAAAGCGCAGAAGCGCTCTGCTCCGGTCCTGCCGAATTCAAGCTGGTGGTGACGGTGGAGGTGGCAGGTGGGTGGGTCCCTGGCTGAGAGCAGTAGCCGGAGACTGCCGGGGGGCGGAGGCATCGCGGCCAGAGGTTAGAAGAGTTCTCCTGGAGGGACAGCGCGGGAATTTCATACACGGCGTGGGGGACACGCCAGGCTAACACACCCTTCTCCCGGGTAGAAAACAGCGGAAGCAGATGCACAACCACCTCCGGCAGAACATGTGCCCAGCCCACCAGAACCGGAGCCTGGCCAATGGGCCCAGCCACCCCCGGCTGGACCCCGAGGAGATCCAGATGGCAGATGTGAGTGGCCTTCCCAGAACCCCCCTGGAGCCCTCACTGGATAGCCGGCCTTGTCGTGCCCCCTGCCGGGCCAGGCAAGGGCGGCAGCCAGCCCACACCACGCTCAGCCTTGCCTGCTAGCCTAGCCTCACCAGGACGGCTGGCCTCCCTCTGCCCACTTCCTGAAGGGGTTGATTTGCTGGGGCCATCGCTGCCCTAACACCGAGTCACTTATCCAGCGGACCACTCCCCAGCCTGAAGCCTAGCGTGTGGCTCCCCCATCCCCACCAGGAAGGAGGGCCGACTCGGGGACCTGTCACTAACTCCTGCCACACTGTGTCTCCCGCAGTACATCTCCAAGAACGTGCCAGCCACGGACCATGTCATCCGGAGGGAAACCGAGACCACCTTCTCTGGGAGCCACTCCTGCTCTCCTTCTCACCACTGCTCCACAGTCACACCCACCTCCAGCCACAGGTGGGCACCAGCCAGGCGCGTGTCTGCCTGGAGACACACAGAGAAACCCCCCAGCCAGGCTCGCCTCTGTATTGAGGGTCCCCCTGAGTCAGAGGAGGGAGGTGGAGAGCTTTAGACCAGAACCCACCACTAGACGTTCATCCAGATCCTCAGCAGCCCAGATTCCCTTTTCCAGTCTAAACCGACCCCAGAGGGACACCAGCATCCCTGTGCTCTCACCTGACATTTAGTTTCGGCACCACATTATCTGGCATAAAGTGCCTCCTCGTTCAACGCCCACACCTATTTGATGCCCTTTCCTGAGTTTGCCCATATGAACCTAGTCCACCTTAGCTTCCTTTTCTTTAGAGTGGAGAGGTCTGTCTGGCCAAGGACGAAGGTTCATAGAGCTCAAGAAATAACATGGTTGGCCCCCTTCTTCCCTGGGGAGCGGTACGGACTAGGCAGGGCCCCCAGGTATTGGCCCGTGGGGCTGCGCTCCTGACATAGATGGCTAAGGACCATGGGAGTGGAAGGGTCCCAGACAGGGGGCCCCGGGCCGAGGCTGGTGGGGGGAGATGGTTGCACGGAGGAAAAGAAGAGGCTCGCGCACATGGCAGCTCACCCATCCACAGGACACTCAGCCCTCCTTCTCCCTAGATCATGATATGACACGTTGGCTCAGAGTGGAGAAGGGCAGTACTCTGAGGGTGCCTGAAATGAAATGAAGAACCAGGGACCACACCTGCTGGGCTGTCCTGCCCCTTCCTGATCCCTCACCTCTCCCCCACCCACTTTCTGCAGGCATGAGAGCCACACATGGAGCATGGAACGTTCTGAAAGCCTGACCTCCGACTCGCAGTCGGGCATCATGCTGTCATCAGTGGGTACCAGCAAGTGCAATAGCCCGGCGTGCGTGGAGGCCCGGGCGCGGCGGGCAGCAGCCTACAGCCTGGAGGAGCGGCGCAGGGCTGCCATGCCATCTTACCACGACTCCGTAGACTCCCTGCGTGACTCCCCACACAGCGAGAGGTCAGTTCCTGCCTCATGCCCTCTGCCCCACCTTGGCCAGAGAACGGGCACCACTGACCCAGGGCTGACCCTTAGGGCACCTCAGAGACACCCCAAAGATTCTCCTGTCCATATTTCCGATTGGCCAGCAAGGCCCCCGAGAGGTTCAATGATCTGCTCAGTGTCACCAGCATGTTCACGACAGACTGGGATTGCAGCTGAGCCAATGGACACTGGTGTGGAGTGACCATCTAATTTAATTGTCCCACTAGGACACTTTCCAAAATAGAGGGGATGTTAATAATTGCACTAGAACATCAGGAACAAATGGGGGCTCTTCCAGACAAACCAGACCATATGGTAGGCCTACCCTGGTGTCACCGAGAGGCCCCATGGCCCAGCGGGAACAGAAAGACACCAAGATCGAGCAGACTGGAGGGTGGGAGGGGAGGCTGTCTGCAAGGAGACTGACCAGTGCAGGCTGGGCACGAGCCAAGAACGACTGCAGGCCCTGGCAGTATCAGCAACAAGGCCCAGGGATCAAGACACCATTGAGTTTCCGAGCAATGGGTGGAGTGAGAACCAGGAAACTCCCCTTCTCCCCACCAGGAGTCACAGGAGGCCAGTCCATCACCTTGCTCAGCCCTCCAGTGGCCCTTAGCAAGTGGGGTCTGTGGGAAGAGAGCAGAGGAAGGCGCATAGTACTGGGAACTCCAGGCTGGAGTAGAGGGAGAGGAAATGTTCTCTTGCTCTAACTTAGCCTACTCCATGCCAGCCCTCGCTGAGCGGGCCTGCCTGGGCACCCAGAGATGGCCCACCTGGTTCTTGCTCCCGAGGAGCTCCAAGCCACAGACACAAACCACTGAAGCTCACAGCCGCCGAAGGAACGTGCTAAGGACAGGCCATCTTACCAGGGCAGAGACCCAGTCTGACTCCAGGCTCTAGGAAGCAACCAGGTTTTCCCAGACCAACCTTTCAAAGCCCAACTCCACCACCTGTGTGATTTAGAGCAGACTGATCACCCCTGTGCCTTGTTTCCTCAGCTGTAAATCATGAAAAACCACCTGTCACGCATGGTTCTCGTGAAGGCCATCAGAGATCATATGCACGAAGCTCTCTGCCTCCTACCCAGCTATGCTAGGTTTAGCTGTTGTTTTCAGTAGCAATAGGACTCCTTAATGGTTGGGAGGTAGAGAGACAGGGAGAGCACTCCAAGCAAGGGGAGCATCCTGTTCCAACAGAGGCATTTCAGAATGGCTAGTGAGTGAGGTGCCCAGAGCAGGGTGAGCTGTAGGGAGAGTGGAGCTGGGTCTGAACAGGTAGGCTGGGGCCAGGGAGATGGCTGATGGCCCTGGGTTCTGCTTAGAATGTGGGCCCTGGATGGGTAAGCAGAAGGGCCTCCTTAAGCAAAACAGTGACGTTAAAAGATTGCTCTGGAAAGTGCATACAGGAGAGGAGAGGCCCTGGAGTGGGGTAATGACCAGAGCAAACAACTAGGCCCGGGATGGGGTAGAGCAGGGCACAGGGTGTGTTCCAGGAGATGGGGAATGGTAGCTAATTGGATGTGCATGTGGGAGAGGGCAAAGAGGGAAGGCAGGAGATTCAGAAAGAGAGTAATGGGGACTCTGGAGAGCACTGAAGTATAAGTCCTGGTTCCTGCCTGACATCGGTTCAAATCCCAACTCTACCACTTCCTGGTAGTGTGAGCCCTGAACAAGCCACTTAAATGTTGAGTCCCAGTTTCCTCATATGTAGTATGGGACTAACCTAAAGGTCTTAGAGAATCGTTGTTATTAGATGAGATAGTACGTGTAGAATGCCCCATTCTGAGCCTGACCCAAAGTAACCATTCAGAAACCTGGTGGCTGTGAGCATCCCCCACACCAAAGGATCATTCATGGAGGATCGTCAGGCAGGCACTTGCATTCCATCTGATACATTTATGGAATCATCCCAACGACGCCACGGAATGAGCACTGTGGCTATCTCCACTTAACAGATAAGGCAACTGAGCCTGGGAGAGGTTAAGGAAATTGTCTAAGGTCAGTGGGGAGTGCCACCACGATTCCTGCACGCGGGATCCCAGGCATGACCACTGCTCTCCGTCGGGATCCACTCCTTCACCCCACCCGTAGCCCCCCCGCCCACGCCTCTGCCTCTCCCCGCAGGTACGTGTCGGCACTGACCACGCCCGCGCGCCTCTCTCCCGTGGACTTCCACTACTCGCTGGCCACGCAGGTGCCGACTTTTGAGATCACGTCCCCCAACTCGGCTCACGCAGTGTCGCTGCCGCCGGCCGCGCCCATCAACTACCGCCTGGCGGAGCAGCAGCCACTACTGCGGCAGCCGGCGCCCCCCGGCCCGGGGCCCGGGCCCGGCGCGGACATGCAGCGCAGCTACGACAGCTACTACTACCCCGCGGCGGGCCCGGGGCCGCGGCGCGGGGCCTGCGCGCTGGGCGGCAGCCTGGGCAGCAGCCTGGGCAGCCTGCCCGCCAGCCCCTTCCGCATCCCGGAGGACGACGAGTACGAGACCACGCAGGAGTGCGCGCCCCCGCCCCCGCCGCGGCCGCGCGCCCGCGGCGCGTCCCGCAGGACGTCGGCGGGGCCCCGGCGCTGGCGCCGCTCGCGCCTCAACGGGCTGGCGGCGCAGCGCGCACGCGCGGCGCGGGACTCGCTGTCGCTGAGCAGCGGCTCGGGTGGCGGCTCGGCCTCCGCCTCGGACGACGACGCGGACGGGGCGCTGGCGGCCGAGAGCACGCCTTTCCTCGGCCTGCGCGCCGCGCACGATGCGCTGCGCTCGGACTCGCCGCCGCTGTGCCCGGCGGCCGACAGCAGGACTTACTACTCCCTGGACAGCCACAGCACGCGGGCCAGCAGCAGACACAGCCGCGGGCCGCCCCCGCGGGGCAAGCAGGACTCGGCGCCCCTCTAGGGGCCCCCGCCGCCCGCCGCCCCCTCCGCCTCGCCTGCCCCACTGTCTTTAAGGAGAACAGAGACCATCGCCTGGAGAGAGAAAGGAGGAAAAAAAGAAATAAAAATATTTTTATTTTCTATAAAAGGAAAAAGGTATAACAAAATGTTTTATTTTCATTTTAGCAAAAATTGTCTTATAATACTAGCTAACGGCAAAGACGTTTTTATAGGGAAACTATTTATATGTAACATCCTGATTTACAGCTTCGGAAAAAAAAAAGAAACAACAAAAAAAAGAGATGGGCCAATTTTTTGACTCTTTAATAGAAACCTATATTGTGGTGCCTTTTGCTGTACGCTACTCTGGAGCTCCTGGAGAGAAGTCGGGTTGTGGGGTGGGGTGGGGGTGAGGGGAATGTAGGATCCCAAGCTGGCAGGGGTGAGAGGGAGCCGGCAAAGAAGAGGCTGCTGGGTGCTGGGGGGGGCAGGGAGGGGATTGGCCCTGAGGAAGGAAATGAGGACAGGAGTAACTTCTTTGCCCCCAGACAGGATCTTGAGTCCCCAACCCCCCTGAAGAGAAGGCAGGGATCCTAGGCTTGGAGCTAGAGTCGGGGTCAGGTAACATTCAGGGGGAGACTTAAGGCCCAGCGACAGCAACCAGAATGGGGAGGGGGCCTCCCCACTCCTTACAGCTGCTAAGGGAGGGGGCACTGAGAAAGAGGTCTTCCCAACAGTCCCGGCCCCAGGGAGGGGGCAGCTCTACCAGGGCCCCGAAGTTCCGGCTCCTCCTCCCCTGTGGCCTCCAGGATGCCCTTCCGTCCTCTGCAGCACCTTCGTTTACAGGTTGTCTTTTCTATTTTATGCCTGCATGTCCTTTGCATTTCAGATTCTTTAGATTGGATGCATGGTCACGCTGGGACCGAGAAGAGCCACTCCACAGTGTATTTGATTCCCCTTTTAGCAATAAAGTAACACCATTTCTCCCAGACCCCAAGCCACCTATGACTTCCACTCCCTCTCCAGCCCTGTCCTCCCCACCCCCGCAAAACTGGGTCCACTGCTAATTTGTCAAAAAGGTAATTGTTTAAAAAAAAAAACCCGAACAAACAAATGGGAACCCTGCCCTGAAATGTCCAAACACCTGACTGTTGACACTTGAACATTTTTATATTATAAATAAAATCAGAAATAACTCATGTTTGATTGTGTGTGCCTAGCCCCCAGGTGAGGAGAGAAGACAGAGAATGAGGACCTGGGTGGAGATGGATGGATGCTGGTGTGGAGATTGGAGAGGGCCAGGGGAGTCCCAGGGAGGAAGAGACCGTCCCTCTAATCTCCCTGACTTCAGCTCCTAGGACAGGCTGCAACCCTCCTCCCTTTTCCAAGAATATTCACAAGGTATCCCCCCACCTGCTGGGGAACCTGGCCAAGGGGCTGATGCATATTACTCTGCTTGGAGCTCAGCCTCAGAACCCTGGCCCAGTTCCTGCCCTGGAGCTACTGGGGCTGCACTGAGACAGCAATTTCCCACATGCGTGGGTGAGGAGGGAAGGCTTGTGGAGTTGGCACTGGGGCAGCTGAGGCAAGATGACCCTTGGGGCCTCAGGCATTTCACAGGCAAAGCCCGGACATGCAAGATGGCATAATGGGTACCCTTGGCTGCCAGGAAGACCACAGCTGCTGCAGCTTGTAAGCCCACAGGGTGTTGTGCTTTTCCCAGCTTTATAGCCCCTCAGAGCCAGGGCCTGTCTAAACCTGCAGCCCCGATGAAGGCATGGAGAAGGCAGATGGAGGTCCAGGGTTCAGAAGCCTTTTCACTCATTGATTGATTTGTTAAACCAGTGCCCAGGGCCAGGAACCCTTACTTTCCAGCCAGACACAAGGGAGTCTTCTATTCAGAGGGCTCAGGTAGTTGACTTGAGCGCGCATATGCGCAAATGCCCCCCAGAATGTGTGTGGTCAGTTTAGAGACCTACCAATGGGAGGGCCGGAGAGGCTTAAGGTTGAGAGGGGCTGAGTTCAGTTCCAGATCTGCCCCTCTCTGGCAGTGTGACTTTTGCTCAGCTATTAAGTGGTGATCCTGATACCTACCTCAAAGGGTTGCTGTGGAGATTATATATAAAGCACCCAGGACTGCTTCTGGCATATGATGCCTATTAATGGCTAATTTGATGATGATGGCATCCTGTGCCTTGCATTCTTGAATCACACAGAGAGTGGCAGAAACTAGATGAAAGGGAGGTGATAGGAAAAAGTAAAGAACTAAAGTCATTGTGTTCACTGTGGGGGGTGCTGGGGAAAAAAAGCACCTGTTACAAAGAAACAAAGGAAAATAGTGAACTAAATGGTATCTAAACCTGCAAATCACTTATCTCTCCCAGGCCCCATCTGGAGATCTCATCCAAATCCCTTCCTGGCTCTGAGTTAGTTTGCTGTTGGCTTTAAAATTTTCTGACAGCCAATAATTCCTCTATGTGACTTCTGACCTCTATGTGAACCCCAATAATTGTGAACGACCTCTTGGTGAACCCATTGGCCTTTTCACGACCCCTCAGTGTCAAATTGACCCTTCTGAGGGCTCTGAGTTGCTGTTACCATCTAAATTTTCAGTCAGAAACCATTCTAGGACTCCAGTGAACCCACTGACCTCTATGTGAACCCCAGTAATTGTGACTGACCTCTTGGTGAACCCCCTGGCCTTTTCATGACCCCAGGTAATTGTATCAAATAATTTGGTAGCTTGCTTATCTGCTCTGGATTCTAAAACACCTACCAAGAGTCTATATGGTGTGAATGGGACCTGAGAGAGGTGTGGCCAGAGAGGCTCATTTTCCACTTTGCCTCTCAAATTTCTGCCTTGGGGTGTCTTTAGTCTGGCCCATCAGGAAGAGGTGTAGCCCTGTTAAGTGACTTCCCTACTACCACCCTGTCCCCCAGGAGCACTTAGGACATTCAGGCGGCTTCCTGAGTCAGAGTCTTCTTCCCCACTCCAGTTCTGTCGTCTTCTCTCTCCCAGGTCAGTTTTGGCTTTCTCCCCAGTGCTCCCAGGGTCCCCAGTGGTAATGGTGACTGCCTGTCCCCTCCCCACTAGACTGTGAGCCCCATGTGGGACAGGGAGCTGCTCGGTCCTTTTCTCACCACACTGTCCTCAGCACCTAGCACAGGGTGCAGCACTGGTGACCTTCACTGAATGAGAAAAGAAACACTGTGGTCAAGGGTCAGCCCCCCAGAAGCCACTTCCCAGGACCACCAGGTGGCGCAAACCACTTACTGCATCTCACCTGTGGTCCTCCAGCCCCTGGATTTGGACAGTCTTGGAAAATGGGCATATTAGGGGCAGAAGTTGGGGGTGGGGGGGGAGGAAATATGATGGTCCATTAGAATGCAGGAAAAAAAATATTAGAACTTTGATTTAGATTTATTTTCATCTCATCTTTTTAAATTTCTATTTTTGTGTATGTTTTATAATGTACATAATATTTTAGTACAGTAGTACATGTATATAATTTACAATAAATAATTATACAATTAAGAAAGTGAACTAAAGATTTTTTTACTGATGGGAGACATCACTAGTGCTCAGGGAAGCCTGTCTGCAGCAGACAGAAGCTTGCTCCTCTGCTTTCACTCACCCACCCTCATGAGGTGGAGGGTGGGAAGCTGACCCCAAAAATCCAAGACCTTAGAGCCAGCATGGAGAAAGTACAGAGAGCTCTTTTATGTTACATTGCTCTTCCAACTTCATTTAAATGAACATTTACTTCCGCTCAGCAAAACGAAGAGGCCAGATGGTTTGGGTGTAAAATACACTTCAGCTGATCCAAATTAAATCATCTGGATTTAAATCACTACATATTTCCACAGACTCATATGTCCCTTGCATCAAATGTGAGCGTGCTTGAACTGTTAGGTACTTAATAAGATAAGCCAACCTTGCCACTAACTAAATATATTACCACTGAGGTCAAATTGCTGCCCAAACTAATCTATTTTAAAAATATAAAGGATCTGCTCATCATAGCTCATTGAAGGCCCATCACCTCCACCACTGGTCCATCTGAGGAATTCAGGGTTTACAAGATACTAGTCTGTGATCATCACGTGGCAAATTTTTCTATCCTTCCCAGGCATGTCCTTAGCTAGCATTTCTGAGTCACTAGAAGAGTGAAAGAAATATCAGCTTAAAAACCAATCAGCAACTTCTTACTCCACCTTTTCCCAAGATCAGGAATTAATGGCTTCCATAACCTTCCTCCACCAAACATCTTTGGGCTTGTTGACAAGTGGCTGTTTGCAAGGCAGAGTGTCTTTTATTCCCGGAGCAGTAGGTCTGTACAAGAGGCCACCTCTGGAGCTCAGAGACCTAGCAGCACCAACATAAAGACCAAAATATAAACAGGGCCATGGTCCCATCCCACTCACACCCCAGAATGCCTGTGGGACAGATGGGGTGGCATACACACACACTGTCTATTTATTCCAAACATCAACTGTAAGAGCAGTGTAAGTCACAGGTCAGCCGGAAGAGGGGAAAAGGGGGTAAGAGGAGGTCAGCACTATCTCCACCTTCTCTCCCAGAGTGTCTGGGCCACCAAGGGGCCAGAGAGCAGCCCTGCTTGCTAACAGGTGGAGTTCCCAAATAGGCTTTTCCTTCATCTTATTTCATCTTGATATCAATTCCGAAATCATCTTTCAAGGGGTCCCTTATTTATATATACAATTCTTGTATATATACATTTTTGTCCATATAAAAGAAAGCAGTAGTGGCCTCCATAAATGGAAGGTGAGGTGGCCGCACATGTGAGTAGACAGCTTGACATCGAGGGAGCAGGCCCGGGTCCGGGATTATTGCAAAGCGAGGCAGGAGAACAGGGCATGGTTCCAGAAGCTACTGGGTGGAGGGAGGAGAGGATGGTGCTGGTGGTCCGCAGACCTGTGGCTGGTCAAGTCTGAGGAAGGAGGAGGAGGAGAGGTGGGGATCCAAGCTGACAGCTGGAGTCCAGACCCACCCTTGGGAACAAGGGGGATGTGGGAAGGAACTTGTGAGAAGGGGAGGAGGGCCTGGGAAGCCAGCTGCCCTTCCTCCTCCTCCTCCAGTGAGATTGTGTCTAGAGCATGCACACAACTGGCCTACAAAATGAGGCTCAGTGGTGGAGAGGAATGTGAGGGCTGGGGAGAAGATCTGAGGCCCAGATAAACCCCAGGATGCAAGAAGATCAACACCACGAATAGCGTCTCCATCTCCTTGGCCCACGGGGCTCTCCACACCCCTCTAGCTGCCTGTCAACTGCCTGGAGCTGGCACAAGTGGCCCTTGGCTGGAATTGTGCTCACTGACCCCTCTGGGGACATTTGCCTGCCTCTGGGGCCTGCCCATCCATGCCAGCTAAGTATCAGGCCCAGTGGTATCCTTTGTAGCTTTGCTGCCGGTCACAGTTCCGTG